TCTATCTTGGACTTTTTTTTTAACAAGCTCAGCTAACTACAGAATTCAGACCAAAGGCCACGCTTGCTCTTCCAAAGTAAATATTATGACATGGAAACTCCACCACCCCCAGCGTTCATACTATCAAAGGATCACGTTATGTTACCGCTTTTTAATGCCTCCAGGAAATCAACATTAAGATAGGGATATAAGGCTCTCTATGAAACTGTGACTGCTAGAATAAGTAGAATGCTATTTAGTAACAAAACCCTTAGCACAAAGCAAGGACTCATGGAGCAGTTTGACCTTTGTGTGCACCACCAGAGCTCCCCAGATTGTCGCAGAGCGACTTACAGACCCTTTTGGTGCCGGTGGTCCTTGAAGAGAAGGCCAAGAGCCTCCATGACCTGCGAGCGGCATTTGACTAAATCCCTGACACCTACCACCAAAGGCTGGTAGCTAAAGAGAAGTGAATTGTCTCCAACGTTTCCAGTTCCCCAGTCCAGATATTCTCAGACCTGAGACTTAACAAGCTGCTAAGAATGAGTCTACTTAACATAGCAAAGGGAATTTTTCTAATAGTACTATCTAAGTAGGCATTATAAACCATCTTACCATCTAGCTAAAAGGAGTAACAAAAGGGAGCTGTCATTAAGCAGCTGGACAAAAAAAAAGGATTCAATGAATTCAGTTCTCACTGAAATGCACGAACAAGTAGGGACTCTCAATGTCATTTCATGTTGTATTTCTAATCTTCAATTCACCTTTTCTTTTTCTTTTATGGGTTTTTTCTTTTTACTGCTATTACAACAATGTTTTTTACTACGTACTAGTGCATTTGCTGCTGCACGAGACACAGCAACAAAGCTCCCACCTCAAAGAAATTAAGGTGAGCTGGTTTTGTAGCTTAAAGCCTCTTTTCTCAAGCATGAAACGCAGCACATAATTCGGCAAAGCATGCTCTTCACTATTCAAGAGCCCTGCTGGGCAGGACTATACGATGGCCGACTGACCCACTGCATTTGTAGAAAGACTGCGTAAAATATTTTGCTAAATACCGAATGAGCTGAGCGAGGGGACGAAAGGGGAGGAAGAGGAGTAAATTATTGGGTCTCTACAGCAGCCAGAGAGGGAGGCTGGAAAACCTCCCTCGTCCTGGGAAGGCTGATGCCAGCAGAAAGCTCTCAGGGGCAGCTCAACACTACCTAGCTACCCCCTGAAAAAGTGGTGCAGGTGAGGCAAAAGAGGGGCAGTGGCACAGGGCTCTGCTACTGCCAGGCCTCTTCTAGCTTTGCCTTCGTGCCCTGTCCGAGGGAAGGTGCCCAGGCACCCGAGGCCAGGTTTGGCCATCAGCTTTCAACCTGCATGCAGCCAGGAGCGTGTGGGGAACGGAGGCAGCGACCCTTCGGGACGATCAGCGAGAGCTCGCTGGCGTTGCCAGAGCCACGTGGGACAGGAGATCGGTGCGAAACACAGAAACAAATCTGTCTGTTTGGGTTTGGTTCATTAAATATTGGCTTCTCTGGAAAAATAAATCAGAGAATTTCCTTAGGGAATGGGAGGATCTGAAACAATGGATTTAAATCGCTGACAAAATGTAAGTGTTTGAGTTGACTTTGGTATTACTTCTTTTACTTACAGTGAAATTATTATTCATAAAGCAACCTTTATTCTTCTATAACACATGCAGTCAGATAGTTGGATTTTGTTTTGAAATACATACTGTCTACAATCTGCTTTGCTTAAAACACCAGGCTGCAGACCTGAGGACAATTTATTTCAACGCTAGCTCATCTATGGAAGATCTGACTGTCTCCTTCTCCTTTCTTCCCACACCACCCACTGCGATGAGACCTTTCTATGCAACTGAAGCAAACAAGACTGTAGGAAGAGTTCTGCAATTATTTTTTGGCACAAAAGTTTTAATTGTACACGCATCATCTGATTAGGTCTGGGTTTGGATGTCAAGTTTACGTACTGTTGTGTAATCAAACACCCAAAACCGGGAAAGTTATACAAGTTCTTTAAATCTATCAGATGTTCTTATAGCACTGTTACAAACCATCTGGTCTCCCTTATCTGCTAAATCAAGATAATGGGTGGTATCCATCATTACTGATGAATGATTCACGGCAACATATCAGAAGCCTCCTGACCCGTAACTGAGGTAATGCAACATTCTGTTTTGTTATTATTTTCCCAGAGTCACTTGATTCATTACAGAGAAATGACTAAAAGTTGTGGTAATTTTTCTCAAGACTGAATTCCCTAGGCAGATTTTGATTATTTTGAATTTCATCAACCATCCTCTTTCTGCTTCTTTGGAGATGTATGTGCTTTATATGTTACAGTGACTGTCCATTTGACCTGAGTTTCGTTACTGTTTTTCACCGCTTTTCAGATGATGAAACCTTTTGAAGAAAGAAAGTCAGTCTAGTTTTTAAGTCTGCAACCACAGAGACTGCTGCTGGCAAAAGTGTAGGCACGGGAATAAACAAAACCAATTTTTTTTGTTATGAGGGGCATATTTTCTTTTCAATGCCCACATTAACATTAATGGGAGTTACGCAAACGCAGTGAGAGACTATACCCACAGATGATTAATCTAAAATATCTGCACAACTTGAATGAATTGAGCACTGCATATAACTGATACCTGAATGTAATCAAGACTCTACAGTTGATCTTGATTTTTTTTAAACAACTCTCTAAACCAACTCCTCATTGGATTCTGGAAGGAAATGTAACAAATATAAACAGAGGACCACATTCTGCCAGCTGCTATAAATGTGCGCAACTCCCACTGACTTCAGCGGAAGCATATGCATATGGGGGCAGAATCCAGTCCTCCGTAAATATGGAATTACCAAAGTCATAAAACAAATTACTTCTGTGGGGTCAATTCTTTAATCCTTTACAAAGTTCCTGGTGTAAAAAGGAGAACTGTTGTCTAAAAGATGAAGGATTATGCCCATACCCAGTTAAAGCTGAATTATTTGGAACATTTTTTCCACAAGATGCTGTCAGGAACAGCTTGATTGCTATCTATACTCTCCCAGCTCCTCTCTGTAGCAACATTAGCAGTTGTCACATGGAGGATTACGAAGTCTCAAAAATTCTCTTTATAAGACTACCAATTTCAATTACTGGAATTGCCAAACCGGTTTCATACCAATAAGCTTGATATTGTTGTCTTCATCTAGCAACAGATTTTCTATCTTCAAGTCTCTGAAAAAAATAAAATATTTTGAGTGAGCCTCTGAAATAATGAAACAACTTCCTGTCACTATCATCAGTTTATTTACAAGATTCGTATATAACGCGTATTATGAAAGCAGCACACAGTTCCACATTCAAAGCTGAATTCCCCATGCACTCTCTCCCCTCCAAAATTACCAATGCTTTCATGCACAGCTTCACACCAGTTTTTCATGCACAAAATGAATTTACAATCATCTGTGAGTAAATCCCATAATTAATCAGCTTCTTCAAATTTTGCATGTAGTTAAAAGTTCACAGAAGTCTTATACACAGGAAATATTTCAAATATATGCTTTTTAGAATTGGAGGTCATTTTCTCATTACTTTTCATAACCAGAGTCTTTTCTTTGGCTGCAGCTGAAGAGTAAATGCTCTTCTGCAGAGGTCCAAGGAGCCAAATGCCTGTTCTCTTCTATTTCCTACAAGGGGACCAGAGTCAGCCTCCCCTTGGGCATGACATGTCAAACCTCTTTACAGAGGTGGCCGGGACTAGTATTTCACACTCTGTAGGTGAAAACCAAGGCACAGAGATTGAAATGACTTGCCCAGTGCCGTCCAGTAAGCTCGTGACAAAGCTGAGAGAAGCCACAGAGATTTTGAGTACCACATTAGGGCTTTTTGCACTGTATTGCTCTGCTGCTTCTTGGGGCCTGGCTTCCACAAAACCACTTCACAGATCAGGGCTGAGACCAGTTTTGGGAGAGAGACGATAAAACAAAAGCAGTTGCCTTCTACAAGACTGATCCCTCTTCTGAAATGTCCTTGAGCATCTACTTCACTTTATATGTGCACTTCAGTCATTTAAGAATGTGGCTGTGCTTTCCTAAATTACGTCTGATATTAGAAAAAAATTCCAGAGATTACCCCCACCCCACACAAAAAAAAATTGCAAAGTGTTCAGACTAAGCTTTAAGTACAGTATGAAAAGTTAGTTAGGTTGCTACACAACTTGCGCATGATTTCTTGCAGTGGGTTGTGTCTCACTGTGTCTATACTTGAATTTTTCCCCAAATCCAGATACAAAGTATTTCTAACAACTAGCATGCCAGGATATCAATAGCTCAGACTCACAGTAATGCTCCTCCCAGTATGTTTAGGAAAACTCTGGATAATAAAGCCATCAGCTATAATTACAGGAAGTCAGTGACATCTACGGTATTTTGCCTTTGTGAGGAGAAGAGAGCACTGAAGAATGCCTCTACTATAGATGAAGATATAATGCATAATAAAAGAAGACAAGCAAATCAACCAAAACAAAGTACTTTCACAAGAATGGATCTAGAAAGAAAAATAGTAATGACCAACTTTAAGTCTGTTTTAAAGCATTCCCCTCCATTTCATTTTATGTCCAGGCTGTGTTTCAAAACATAAGAAGTAGAGGAGTATTTTATGTAGGATGCCTCTCACTTCATAGATACAACCACAAGGACCTCCTCTGAATTGAACAGATGTTTCAACACCCTAATTAGCATTTCCTGCAGATTTTCCTCACTGCATATGTTTAAAAGAAATAGGGGAGATAATATACAAATCTATCAAAGGACACTATTTTGCGAGCTTCAGGTATTCAATGGCTACATCCAGCCTTTCCTTGTGCCTTTAGCTTAACACAAGGCTTTCTAATGAGAAGACTGTTTTGTGCCCTTGGTAGTTAAATACATTGGCACAAATTCTCTTCATGGAGAAGCAACAGTATTCAATCGATAAAGTGCAAGTTAGAGAGACAGAAGGCCTGGATTATATTCACTCCTCTGACAATAACTCAGTGTGTTAACTTTGGGAAATCGAAATCTCACTGCCGTGAGGCTCTTCTCCTAGCACGAAGCTCCACGACCACCACAAAGGCGCTGCAGAGTCACTGACAGTGTGATTAGCCCCTAGGAAGATCCTGAGGCTGGGAATTTAACAGGAAAGATTGCCAAAAGAACAGCATGGGAAAAAGAAAAAAACCCTAGAGTGAAATCAGCAGAACCAAATGGAGTTTCAAGCAACAAACTGAAACGCTCAGTACAGTGGCTCGAAGCAAAGGGAAGGAGGATTTGGAAGTTCTGAGCAAATTTTAGCACTAAATTAAACGTTAGCTAAAAAGAGGCAAGATTTTAAAAATAAAGGAAGAAGAATGGATAGATGAAAGCTGAAAACTGAGCAGAAGAGACACGCAGGCAATTAGAATAATAAATGAGTGATAGAAGGGCTAAAAATAAACACAAGAAAAGACATTTAGAAGGAATCAAGGTTAAAAAAATAGATAAAGATACAAATTAAAGGGAATTTTTAAAGCATCAGAGGCAAAAAATAAAAAAAGTTAAATATAGCCTCACTATAAAGTGCAATCAGATCTGGTTAATTAAAGATGTTTACCCATATGTTTATTTTGAGCAGATCTGCCTGTAAGTGGTAACTGATCTAATTGTCCATATGTACCATCCTTTTTTCAAGCCATATTAATCTGAAAGCACTGTTTTTGGTGTGACGCTGAACCAGGTCAGCATATTTTTACTTACCTGATACCATTTAACAAGACTGGTGAACCACGTTAACCAGTCGTAGAAACACAGAAGTCCTATGAAGCCAGGCCAAAAAAACAAAACAAAAAACTCCCCAAACAGACTAAGCTACAGTTGCAGAACCTCTGTCACAGGATTATGGATTCCTAAGCGGGCAACGGGGTAGGACTATCCTGGGGAGCCTGATCCCGTTCAACACACCAGGTGGAGACTGATGACGGGCACTGATGTACCTGGCACCTGGAGCCAGCAGAGCAAAAGCGCAAATATAGCCCCGCTTTTCTGGACAAGAATCTTGCTGGCTGGGACTGAGGGGTTATTCAGTAAACGCTTTAAATTACTTTAGCAATGTACAAAATTACCACTGCTTCTTTTGACAGAAAGTGTCCAGTCCGACTCTGTGCCTCTCTTAGGCTCATCCTGCAGAGACATGACTGATTTCCCTGAAGCTCCTAAGTGCTTTATTAGGTCAGTTTTGTCTGGCTCAAACTTAAAACATTTTTTACAAAGAGAGGCTCATCTGAGTAGCCACCTCATTTGAAAATTTACATTAATTCACTGTAAGGGAAAAAGTAGCACCATCCCAGTTGAAAGGGAACACTAAATTCCATGCACTATGTTATAAATGCTTTATTAAAAAACAAACAAAAGCAGACACACCACCCTCTTTGTTTTGGTCAGTGGAGTTTTTTATGTTTTTCTAACGGCTGCAAACTGCAAGACAGAATGTGAGTTATTTGCTACAACATACAAAGCACGGGAAGCCCTGGTCGAAGTCAGCAGGACTACCCAGAGCACTACACGCAAAGCACGCGGGTACATCTCTGCAGGCTCGAAGGCCCTCGCAATTTTGCAAGCACCTTGCACTTTTTGGCGGGCTCTTGGAGCTGGATGCAGCTGCTCTGCGAGCGGAAGGGCTGCGCAGCAGCGCTGCAACTCCCTCACGGCACCGCATGGGGCTGACCTGGGGAGGGAGACGAAAAGGCAGTTGCTAGAGACTGTCAGTGTCCCTCCTGGAGGTAAAGCTGACCTCGTTCCTGACTGGCTCAGCTCCTTGAAGAACATGGCCAAAGGAAAAAAAACCAAAAAATCTAGGCAAACATTTGCACTCGTTGTTGAAAAACTTTAAAATATCAGGGTGCAGGGTATGAGGAGGAAGGAAGAGGAGCTGGTGCCTCTACTGTAAATCAATATTTTCCCAGCAAGCAGCTGAAAAGCAGTAGCCGTTGACTGTTGTCTCCTCCACTTCATTTTTTATCACAAAAGTACCACCAAAAGCACCCCTGAACTACCAACCCACAGCTCACTTTCTAGGCCCTTTAGGGAAGCTGGAGGTGAGCCCGGAAGGTTGCACAGATTTGGGTTCATCCTTACCTTAATATGCATTTCAAAGGCACTGCTGTGCTATCAAAGTAATATTTACTGAGGCTGATTCCTCTGTCACTGAATTCAGTGTGGTTATCTCTGTAAAAGAGGAATCCAGTCCATTGTCTTTACCAAAATAACATTTACTTTGTTTACGGCAGAGTATTCTGAGAGAGATGCCCAAAGGTAATTCTGAAATCTGTCATAAAATAGAAAGACAAGGCAGCTTTGCACTTCAAAAGGAGACTTTGTTCTGCAGCACAGGATCTGTCATAAATATTGCATCAGCAGCCAGACTACTGGCACTTAAAATTAATAGGATGGAAGTTATCAAAGCTAACACGTCAAAGGAATGGGTACCAAAGCAGGAATCCCGTAACGTCCCGAACAACTGAATCATACTACGCTGCCTTCCTGCTCTCAGCGTGCTAGGGAGAGGGGAGGAAGGAGACTGTGCAAAAACATACCGGTTCCACTCAAAACCTCCACTCAAAAGATTTTTTGTGTGTCTTTCAAACTCCTGATCTGCTTTTAATTACAAAATGGCAGTGAAAGGTATGAATACACTGCCACGAAGGCAGAAAAAGGGGGAACACAGAAAGCTATCTTTGCTACCAATACATTATTAAATTCTTTTCTTTGACACTCTGACAGTAATTGCACTGGATGGGATTGAATTTTGTTAAAATTACTTTAAAAGGGTTGTTGAGAATTTCCTGTGGGATGCAGTTGCAAGCACCAAGGCTTTCACTTCATTTTCTCTGTTGTCCTTGCACTCCCAAGGGGCTTACTGTTCATCCTGCTTTTTGACAGCAATGAAGGCCTATGTAAACACCCTCTGAAAAGAGAAAGCTTCACCAGATACTGCCATTTGGGTTTGTTTTCTTCTGTCAGAGAGAAAGATAAATATTCCTACCTGATTCACAGCTGAGCTTGTGGCATGGATATTTTTAGCAACCAACCAACTCTTCTGGTAGAAGGAATGGAGCTCAAACAACTACATGAAATTATATTTAGGGCAGTGGCATTTTTTTCAGACAGCAGCCACAGGCTTCTGAAAACTTGACAGCCCTCACCGAAGACGTAATTCCTGCAGTCAGAAACTTGCATTCTTCGCTCATCATAGGAGATAAGTATTTATGATTTCAAATACATCCATAAGGTCAAACACACGCGTAACTTTTTTCAGCCTCTAAAATAAAATGACGCTTCTCGAAGGGTTTTTTTTTTTTAATTTTAGACTGTTGCACATCACAGTGCTTCTTAAAAGACATTTCCTTTGAGTTCTGGTTCCCAGTTCTTGTCCAAAGGTCAGAGTGTTTTTCTGCCATGCCAAGCCTTGATCATGTCATGAAGCTGGCCGAGTAATATTCATTAACTAATGCAGTCAAATTTCATGCGCCTTATTTAATCTTGTTTTTTTTTTTCCATCCTGAGTTATAGAACAGGGCGAGTAATCTATATTATTCACTGAATAACGTAGATAAAAAAAATGTTGGTTACTGTCGTAATAAAATATTCAGTGAATACTTTTATGTCCTTTAAACATTCTGCCCAATTCAATGCGAACGATGAAAGCATTCTGAAAGGGACACAAACAGGTGACCGCTTTCCGGCCTACAATGTGCTGTGTTTTGTTTCGCCTGCAGTGAATGTGAACACCCACGGATCACCACATACATGAAAGTGCTGTTATTTTTTAACTGTTTTAAAAATAACAACAAGAACAACAGCAGAACATTGTCATTTCATCCAGGGTGAGAATGAATCAGACTTCTGCACTATTTTTGTTTTCCTCTTCAGTTGCTGATGGAGCAGGCTGTTTTCAGAGTTGCCACTGTCAAAAGCCCAGGGAGGACAACTCCTGGGGCAACTATTATTCTTTCTCCCTCTGGCACACAGAGAGCCAATGCAACAAATTCAGACCGTGCCGCTAGCGTTCTTCTTGTGTCTCCGCGCTGTTCTGTGTATCTTGTTTGCAGAAAAATTAAAGCTACTGAATGGCTAAGCCCCTGGAGAAAATACTTGCAAATATACTGCCTGTGATTCTGTCAAATTTTATCACTTTCAACAGAATTGGACCTGCTCATTATTTGGACGGAAGACTCCCACGGAAAAGCTCTGTGCCATACTGATTCGAGAAATACAGTGGGTGGTGCGTGCCTCCTTTGGGGTAAGGATTAATTTAATGCCAAAGGGCTGGGGATCGTGCTTGGCTGTACCCGGGTGGACGGAGCTCAGCCGCCAGGCGCAGCAGAGCACTTCAGCATTTCCAAGGCTGCCTCCTCCCCGCGCTCCCGCGAAGCCCCTCACACTTCTGAAAGACGGGGCGAGGGCCAGGACTGCTCCAGGCACACAGCATCCGCGCACGGTTCAGGCTCCTCACACGTACGCTGTTGCGGGAACTGTGATTCTTGCCTTCTTTCCACCACAGCAGCCCGTGGAGTCTATCGTGCACCTAGTGAATGAGCTATTTTTGTACAAAATGTGGGTTTGAATCCTCTCTGGCAAAGACGGGAATCACAGCCAGGCCTGTTAGTTCCCCTGTAAGTGCTTTAGCCACTATGGCATTATGCAGAAAGCAAAATTTTTAGTGAGAGGAACGGCTGACGGACTCAATATCACTGGTAAAAGCTAAACTCGTTCTTCTGTTGCTGACAGGTTTTTCTCTGCCCATCTCATAAACTTTGATCTGCTTTTTCCTTCCTCTCTCTCTGTACATACGGGATATGAATTGATCCTTTAAAGCAATAAATAGACTTTTGCCTTTCCCATGTGCCAGACTGAGGGGTTAATAATCAAAGGAGTCAGTGGTTTAGCTGCTGATAGAGAATCTGCAAAACAGACTTGGTTGCTGCTCAAATATACTCCAGTGGTACCAGAAATTTAGCCTGAGATGAGACCTCACTTCACCTGAGGTTATCTGTACACTGAAGTACTGGCTCCTAATGGATCACAGTGAACAAGCAGAGAGACTTCAAGACAAAAGAGCAGTCTTCAGAGCGCATGGCGTTCAATCAAGGCACGTACACTCAACGGCGCAGCACAGCAGCAAGCAGCTCCGTGCACAGCTGGGCACAGCTGGGCAAGCCGGCTGCGCGCTGCCTTCAGGCAGCCTGCCAGCTGCCTGCACAGCAGCCCCGGGGATGAGCTCACATGACAGTTCTCCATCTTCTACAGCACAAGAACAGCCAGTGAAATGAACACCCAGATTCTCCAAAATATTTAGCTGTTTAGCCCCTGCTAAGTGCCTAAATAACTTGGAGGTGAGGCCTACCCAACTTGCCCAACATCGATCGCATGCCAAGTCCCTGGGAGCCCAGACTTGAACTCCAGTCAGCCTGAGTTTAAAAAATTTAGTCTGCTTCTTAGATAGCGCCCTATAAACACAGAAAGGACAGAGGAGGCAACACAGTGGGTCAGACCAGAGGTCCCTCTAGCCCACTGCGCTGTCTCCACAGCAGCTGAGAGCATATTGCTAGAGAAAGGAGTAAGCACAGGCAGTCACGTGTGATAGCTCTCCCTGCACTCTCCCAGCCTCTACCATTTGCTGCTCGGGGGCTTCCACGGACAGAGGCAGCTACTCTTTATTCAGGAACCCTCAGTAGATTTCTCTTTGATTAACTTGTCCAGTTTCCTCTTGAGCTCAAGTAAACTTTTAAATTCCCAGCGTTCTTCTCCAAGAGGATTCACGTGCTGGTTACAGTTTGTTTAAAAGAATCACTTACTTTCTCTTGAGGACCTACCGCAACAGTTTTGTGTTTCTCCTGAGAAGACACTGAGAGATGAACCGAGCAGTTCCATACTCTGTCTTTTATTTCATTATTTTTCAGTTCTGTGAAGTTCTGGGGCGGTGGGGGGGGGGGCGATAATTACGGGAGGAGCAGGAGTGTGATCTTCCGTGATCCAGGTCTGGCTTTGTCCCAGCTAAGCGACTGGGGGAACTTTGGGCAAATCAGTTCATTCCACTATACTGCTCTATTTCCACCAGTGAAACACAGATATAACAACCTCCTCAAAGAAATAATGAAAACATTCATTAGTAAATAACAGTACAAACCCCTAAAGAGGCAAAATAGTATTACCAGGAGCAAAGGAGACCTACCTTTGCAAAGCACGGGACTATCTTTAAGATCGTGGAGTCAGCAAAGCTCCCATGCGCTCTCCTGAAGTTACACACTTATTTAAATGCTTTTTAGAGATACTTTCTATTGTCTAACATTAGGAAAATTAGTCAAAAAGCTAGCTGGAATTTCTTTTTATAAAGGAATCTGCTTATTATATCAATAAATGCAGAAATACCACTTAGAGACTCTTGGATAAATTTTACCAGAGAGGTTAAGATTACCTGTGAACTACTCCTGCCCGATGAAGATGCTCTACTGCCAGAATAAGCTGCCTGATATATTTGCGTGCTTCGTGCTCTTCAAGTCTTTTTTTCTCATAAATCTTGTGCATCAAGTTGCCACCAGGGCACAGCTCCATGACAAGGTAGTAGCTGTTTTCCGTTTCCAGTATATCCAGCAACTGAGCAATGTTGGGGTGGCGGATCATTTGCTGGATCTGCCCTTCCCGTCGCAGATTCTTGGTGACATAGGTGTCCTTTTTGGCTCTTTTCTTGTCAATTACTTTCACTGCCACCTAATGAGAAACAGAGGAGAGGGGGTTGTTATCAGTCCCACCAGTGATTTACGGCTTTAACCTTGTACAAAACAACCACAAAATAAATCAAAGGGTGTCAGTCTCAACCGATACATTGTTTCTGGGACAACTGCCCAGCACAATAAAAATAGCTACTTTCGCCCTAACTTAACCTCTTTCTTTATCCCCTCCTAGGATGACTGACAAAAGTTTTGGTAAGGAAATTGGTAACAAAGGGGAGGAGACAATCTGTTTAACCGTACCCAAATACTTAGTGCACTTAATGCTGGACAGCTATGGCATTCATTTTCTCAGAAAGCCTTCATGCTGACACCGACATATGAGAAACATCATTTTTGGCTGTTTCTGGCTTTGGACTTGTGATTTGAGACGATACGCTTCCATGACAAGTTTCTTAAACTATAGCCAAATATTAGTTTTGCATGCTTTAATAATAATAAAATATACATATATGTATAAAGCATGAAAAAATGATTTATTTTCGTATCAGTCTTGGCACATTTGTTATTCTGTTTTAAAACATACATGCCAGGTGATCCTCTTGTTTCTTCTAGAACCCAGTAACTTTGCAAAATTCAAGAAGGCAAAAGCGTTTCATGCATGTTCTAAATCGCACCTCTACTCAGAGCTGTCCAAGTCCAACAGAGCCCAAAGGGAAAGCACAGAGTAAAACTAAGGGGATTCTGTATCACAGTCTGTAAGACAGTATTTACTAGCTCCTATCAAAATGCTTTCTTTCGTATTCCTGGTGCAGCACACCCCATGAGAACAAAAGGAGGGGACTCTCTGTTTAGAGAAGCTGGTTCCTTTTATTGTTTTAACGGATTCACTAAACAGTTGCAATAAAAGTATGTCGCCTCCATTATCCGCCGCGTATGCATAGGTTCTTTTTTTTTTCTTTTTTTTTTTTTTAAGATGTCTTATTTAGACCGGCTGCCGCAGACTTCCAGGTCACCCGCACCCGACAACGGTTTAGCGGCGTACGCCAGCCGCGCAACAAAAGGCCCCGCTGAACCCTTCGCGGCGCTCCTCGCTTCCTCGGCGCTCCGCAACAAAGGAGGCCCTGTAACGCAGGCACCGAGACCCAGCAGCTCGAGACGCTTGTTTGTTTGTCAGGACGAGGGAGGCGGGGGGCGGGGGGGGAGGAAAAGCAGCGCTCGGGATTCCTGCGCGACGCTGAATTTTACATGAACCAGATGAGAAAGACTCTTGTTTGCATGGGTACGGGGTCCAACAAAGTGCACGGCAAATGGCATAATCCCGCTGCCCTCCTAGAGGGACACGCAAAGAAGGATGCTACACTCTCATCTTCACTGCGCGCCTTTAGTTGGAGGACCACCTGCGTTACTTTACTCCTACAAAGAGAAGAAATAATAAACGTGGGGAAAGTCTCGGAGCTTTACTGACCTAATTGCTAATTCTCACAACTCAGATAACAGCACACGGGAAAGGAGACTTCCCTCCACCTCCAGCTTGTGCACTACAGCCCTCCGCACGGCCGACGAGCTAGTCGCAGCAAACTCGCTTGCAGCTCCTGCCAACTGCACTGCTGTAATTCATGGTATTGTGGGCTGGTAAGTCTTTGGCAACAAGGAGACAAACTTATTCAAAGCATACCAGGCCACCTTCCCAGCCCGAGCAAGTGCCAAGCGCACATCAAGCGCATGGCAGCTCCCAGTTTGATCAGTCTTATATTTTTCCTTCAAGGAAGGGAAAGGTTAAATTAGTGAACGTTCGGGTATTCCTTTAAAAAAACAAAAACACACGCACACACACACACACAGAAGTATGATCTGGAAATATGACAAGAAAAGCAGACCCGGAACCTTTGACACAAATCTCTTGAATCCATGTCAAGTTTTATCAGTACAGGAACTGAAGAATAAAACTACAGGACCCTTGGCTTAATAGTTTGCCTCGAAAAACAAGAAGTCAGTATCACTGGATACATTACTAGCTGGATGCATTTCTGCTGTTAAAATATCATTCTAATGAAACGCCCTTGATATAAAGATGAGACTATAAACACCACACTCCCGACAGCCACCTGGGTGAAACACAGAGTATTGTACTGTAGCGTCAGAACCACAAACGCCTGGAAGCTACATTCCTGACTAGGCGCATTAAAGAAAGATCATTTAGTTGTAAGATAAGACAACAGGGAAAATCAGAGCTTAACTTAACCATTTTTGAAAGCCTCAGGTGATTCACCAAGGAAACAGTCTTAAATTAGTATGTTCTTCCATCTAATGAGATAAGGCCAAGAAGAGGCTTGCATAGATTATTTAGACAGCTAACTACAGAAGTTATTCTGCTGAGGACAAATAAATTCATGGGTTACAGAAACATGAAATGCCAGTTTGCTTGCTGGCAGCACAATATAATCTCTGCAGAAGTTGTTTTTTTTTTTTTTAAACATAAAACGCTAATATTTTCTATAGCTACAGGATACAAAATACAGCATATTAACAATACGGAACAGTAATCTGTTTTCTGAAGCATTTTGTGAATCCTCCGTTATCCGTATGAGTAAGCCATCCCTAATTCATTGACTAAGAAAGCACAGTGCTGAACACACGCATGTCTCCTACAAATGCTGAGCATGCCTGTGAGGAGCAGGGGCAAGCAGCTGAGGACAGGAGCCAGAGCCAACTATTTGATTACTTGACGACTTTTTCACCATCATAAAGAATTAGGCACAGTTCTATGCCTCAAGGACAAATTTTCTCCTTGATTTTGACAGATCCTTGGTCAGGCCCCCTACGTACCCCAGTGCACAAGAAAAGCTGCTTTTCGATCCACGCTTTATTCTGAGCTATCTTTTCCCCCTTCAAGGTCCCTTGCATTGGGTCTGAGAGACCCACAACCAAGGCTAACAGGAAGCAGCTTTGCATAGGGGAAAGAGAAGAACATTAACACTAAGTTAAAACTATGGGAGACTTGTATCTCCCACACCAGACAGGAAACTAGTTTCTGTGCAATATTACTTTTTCCTGGGGTGGAATGCGAGCGAGATCTTGACACCCTCTCCTAGCTCCCTCTTACGGCCCGGGGAACCACAGAAATATATCTGACAGATGCCCCCTCTCCATCTCACAGAAGATTCAAAACCCAGGGTCTTTAAAGAAATGTTTATATATTTAAAGAAAAAAATTGTAGTTGATCCACACATACAAGCAACCTACTATCAACTTCCACGTAGAGACTCTCCATAATAGTTTCTTCTAGCTTTTGCGTCTCTGACTCTGCTCCTCCCAGGTGGTCTTCCTTACTATCCCTTTCATTTATTTTGCTATCTGGCTATCAATGTCCTTTCCCTTGCACTGCTGGTTTGGTTTGGGCTTTCTTCTAGGATTCCTGTGCAAAAGGCCCAGCATCTGGAGACAGAGCTTTGGTTTGGTGGGTTTTCGCTTGTTTGGGTTTCTTGGATTTTCTTCTGATTTACAATTTGTTTTGCAGCATACGGAGGAAAAATTAAGGACCAAACCTTGCTCTCAGTTACTCCAGGGATGACTTGGTTCAATACCCTTGATTTTGAGTTCATCTAGAATCACCCCAACGTTAAGTGAACGTGGTCTGTGCCCCAAAGCATTTAATATACACCATGTAGGAGGCTGTGTATATTTGTGAATATGCACCTGCAAACTTCACTTACCCCGAAGGAAAGAAGCATTCACTACGGAGAATACAGTAGATGTTAGCCAAACACGAAATAAATGCATTCAAGCTTTCAAAATTACTCAGGACATGCCAGTTACTCTGTTTTGCTCCCCAAAGTTTCAAGTAGGGGCTCTTTGCATCTGCACTGCCTGCACCATGCCTGTCTCCCCACCGGAATTCTCAGCCAACATTAGCAGAGAAATAATAAATAAATGATAAAGCAAGTAATTACTCTGAATATGTAGCAACAGTGGCTCTTGACATTCAACACTTTGCTTTTGGCTAAATCTTTGTTGTGTAAACAAGTAAATGGTTTAGGCTATTCTGCGTTATGAGATACAAAGATGAGTAATAGGCCATATTTTTGATGCCAGAGCCCTAGAATTACACTGTTAGAATGAATTACTTTCCTGAAGTTTATGGTGTGACACATCATAAGAGCAATTGCTGCTTCTCTTGATTGTAGCCCTAAAATAGTTCAAGTTAGGCTAAACCGTACTGGAATGGAGCTGAGGGGGAAGCGTAAACACCATCATTCTCTGAAGATAGTTGGAGGAAACAGTTACATTGCTTACAGAAAGAAGCACCTAAAACAATATCAGCAAATACCGGCACGTGTCATCACCCAAACAAAGGCACATGTCTGACACATAAGGAGGGAGGATTTTTGCCAGCTAGTGTTTTAAGAGGGTGTGTGAATCTGCAAGAAAGGAAGAAAAAATGATGGGCACTAAAAACAGCACAAAAGCAGTCACAGCAAGGCCCTGAGAAAGAGCAAAAAGAGACAATTTAAGGGGCCGAATACTGCCTGGAGAAAGCTGGGAGCTGAGGCTTCTGTTGCTAGATCACTGCTGTGTCCAGAGAAAACATATTTTGCATGTTCCTGGTAAATAAATTTACACTGACACCCAACTCCCTCCTTGTCAGAACAACTTGCAAGCCCCTACGTTTCTGGTTAACCGCACTGTGTCCAAAGGGGTAGCAAAAGACAGGTGCGTGCATGCTGGGGAGGGTTTGGAGATGCACAGAAAGAGGCCAAACCAAGCCCAAGTGAATCTTATGAAACTCAGATAAGGATAAACTAAGCACAACAGCTGCTTGTTTCTTTGTCTTCTGCTCTTCTGCATTGAAGGAGCGCCCAAAAATTGCAACACAGCATGGAAGTTGGCTCAGAGGAAACAGTTTTCCCATGATCCCAAGGGAGGACACGCAACACCTGTTTTCTTCTGACCTCCTCCATCCTCCCCTTCATTTTCTCCAAATGAAAAGTGGTGCAAAACATTATTACCAGAGGAAAGACCTACCCGAGGGACGGATCC